TATGTTATATACTTTATATTTTCTGGTTTACATCTTCCTATCGTCGAGGTACTTATGTTTATGTACACATTACCATTGCCAAAACAGTCACTAGAAAAATATAAGTTAAATAATATAATAATATATAAAATGTAAATATTGATAAAAAAATATTTGGAGAAAATCGATGGTTCTGTGGAAGAGATTGAACCCTCAAAAAACCTAAGTTACAATTTAATATTTGAAATTATTTTCATTGACGTAACCAGAAGACCATCGTTAGTAAAAAAAAAAAAAATATCCTAAATTAATTTTATCAACTGACATTTTTTTTTTTTAAAGTTTGATCTGTGTTCTTGGAATTATTCCTGTATATTTCGTTTAATTTTTTTTCGTCTGATAAATTGCTTTGATTGTTTTTTGTACGTGAGCGACTGGAGATTTCTGTTTGACAATATGGTTTAGCTTTAGGAAAAATATGGAGTAGGGTAGCTCAGTGATAGGGCAATGATCTTCCAATGCTCAAGGTCCTGGGTTTGAATCTCGGCTCACTGTTGACAAATTAATTTTGGGATCAGTAGACACTTCTCTGACAGACCCTGTATAGTGGGTACCCTTAATTAAAATTAATAATTAAAGGAGGAAAAACCTGGTGGTTGAGCGTGATCTCGGTCAAATCACCTCCTTGCAAAACCGTTGGCTAGCAGTACTTTCCCTAAATGCTACTGAACACAAGAGCTTATTGTGGTTTATTTTTTTTTTTTTTATGTAGAAGAATATCAGGTATACAGTACTTTCAAGAGTTTTGCAGTTTCCAGAACAACACGCATTCTCACTCACCATCAAAAAAGCATTTTAATATCGCTTTAAGTGTTTTGAAATCTCATACTTTCATGGACGACTGTTCATTCGTCGGACAACTTTTTGATTTATATGCCCAAGACTTACATTGAAGTCCTAAACTGCCCAAGACAAATAATATTAGATATCCATAAGCACTTCGATAAACTTAGATAAAACACGATAAAGCAGCAGTTGATGAGACTTTTCTTTAGCATTACAGCTAAAAGCGAGTGGTGGTACTAAATTTATATTAAATTGAATAAGATGTCATGGGGAACAGTTCATCATATAAGCCCTTATTAAGTTTTCAGAATTATCACTCTGATAAGGGCTATTCATGAAATGATTTATGCAATTTTTTACGATCTGAATGATACAGGCAATGATTAATAGTTTTCTGAGTAGCGATCCATACCATATTTATAGTCAAAAGAAAATAAATAAAACCACAGAAAATATTTTAACAAGAACTAACTTTTATCTTATATAGTAATCCAAATAAGAGAATTTTATATTAAAGTGTTTTACACATTCCATAATACTTGTAATATTAGGGTCTGCATCGACGAAGTTTGCACTGCACGTCACCCAAAATATGTTCGCGTGTCACTTATGACACGCGTGGCGTATGTCCGCCAACATTGCCATAACAGGACATGCAAGCGGACTTTTGGTAGGAACAATAGCTCTTTGGAAAGATAAGAGACAATGGATAGGATATCAGGGCATGTAACTGTAGATGAATCATTATCCTTATATGATATTATGATCGATTTTTATCAGTTTGATCGATTGTTGACAAAGGTTAAAACTAATACTAGTCACGATAACACCCCTTTTATTATAACGTTTATAAAAACATTAATCTTAGTTACTTGGGTATCCTTAATTAATTGTTGATTAAGCAAGGTTCAATTTAATCTGGTTTTAAAAACAATCGATTTATCTAGATTTAAAAAAAAAAAATGATTTTTTTATCCCATATAAAATTTTTTCAGACATTTTCTGTTTTTTATTTGTTTTGTTTTCTTTTAATAGAGATTTTATATATTCCTTATCACCACCACTAAAAGTGCCTTTAAAACAGGAACTGCTACATTTTTATGGCAAGATAAAGTTTCTTTTCGTACATGTGAGCCGTCATCAGGGCTAAAATAAATCAATATTGGATGAGAAATTGTATGGTCTCCATGTTCCAGTGGCAGGCCACCTTGGTTCCATGGGCAATTGACCTACTCGGGTTAAAGGACATTGACAGATGAGTCTAGATCCGTGGATTATGGCTACTCAAAGTCAGCAGGCGCAGGAGGACCTATATTACTTTCCCCGAAACTAATCGTTCATAAACCAAACTTCTGAGGGACGATTCACGATACCCGATTAAATTACATGTGGTAGGTTCGGTGTGAGTTGTCTCCAGTAGGGTGTGATGGGTCTCACATACCCAAATTTATTTCAATATTTCCCCTTTCAAGTAATTTTTGCCAGTGGAATTCCGGGACTGGAATTCCAACCCAAAATTTTAACGTTTTAACGTTTGTAGGTTAGTGCAGATTTACACGCGCTTTAACCCGCTAGTCCTTCCTTCTTTTTTAGTTCACATCAAAACTCTTAGAAATAATTTGAATTCATATTTAAGAGACATAAGCTAAGAAATCAGTTTAACAAAAAGGTGGCAATCTTCCGTTTTTTTTAAAAATATTAATTCGCCAAACATTGAAAACGAAATCGCCATAGTCGCTTTACTTTTCTTTGAATTTATTATGGTTATTAATGAGTGAGTAATTTATGCTTCAGGGTGATAGGGAAGAGGAAATTCATAGTTCTTCTCAGTCGTCACATGACAAGTGAGTGATCCAAATTGCTCGTTTTTAGTGAATCAAGTTCTCAACTATCTCATTTCACAACTCTTATACTGAATCAATTAGGGAATCTAGGTGTGACCTGGCTTTTTAAAAGTAGTGGTCACACCATTAGATTGAAATGTTTAAAAAAACAAAACAATTTTTTATATTAAACCGACTCTAAAACGTTTCTAAGAGACTCTCTTAAAGTTAAGTACATTAAAAAAAGAATAAATAAAATAAAATATGCGTATAAAACATAAATTAAGAAACGGTGCGTTTTGTTCATCGTACCATACAATACTGCCTGATACCAGAGGCATTATAATATTTTCATATGATATGTGTCTTTAGTTTTGAAACTTTGTCAACTGAGTATTGAGAGCAAATTAGTATATTATTGTAAGTGTATAAATAAATAACGTATAAAGGTATTAAGTATTAAAGTAGGTACAACTTTTTATCAAGATAAATTATAAGAAACGTTTTGTTGCTATTATTTTGTTTTTATTCGATATTTATTGTTTGATTTTATAAGATGCCGCCATGACATTTAACCCCTATTGCAGCTGCTTGAATGAGTTTGACCGGGCAGCCTTTAAGGTTGTCGCACGTCCTTGACTTCATAAAAGTAACAGGATGTCTTTTCTCTTCCATAGTTGTCGCATTAAAGCTTGTGGCTAAATTTATATTTAATATTAGGTCGTCATTACCTAAAAATTTAATTTAGTTTATTGTTATAAACAAATAAAAATTAGCATTTTACATAATTATGAATTTGGTGAACATACTTCTTATATATTATTATAGAAAAAAATTATATAAATTTTTTATACTAAAAATATAAGGCATAAGTCAATTATTTACATCTACTTGAGAAATATTATATTAATTAATGAAAAAACTTCAATACGTAAAAGTGAATAATTTTTTATTATACTAGTATAAAAAACTATTCTTATAATTATTCAGTGATGGAGCATTGAGCCTTTAAATATTTTTAACTAGATCTAAGTAATTCAACGCAAAAGGTTGTTTTTCGGATTTATCGATAATGGGTTTTACACGAGACAAGATCTTTAAAGTAAAAATATAAAATTCAGTAAAGCAATAAAAATGGGAAGATTAAATAAATAAAATGAGAAGATTGCTAATCCGAATAATTATAATATATATTAATATGTTATATTAATAGGATGTTAACAGGATGTTAATTAAATTAATTTAAGAAGGGATGCCTTTCCCCCCACCTTTGGCGCTTTCTCACAGAAAAGTTATTCATCTACTTAAAAACGGTACACGGAATTATAAAAATTGTAATTTATATATAGTTACATTTCCTGTGCTGTATTGATAGAATACCATCTTTCTTCTCTTGTATTTAGGTTTGAAAGTTCCTCCATATTGAAATTCCACAAAAACGTGGTTCCCTAATATCAATCTTGCCCACAACAGCATCCCAATACAGTATTGTCAATGCACAGATGATAATTATGTTTAGTCACGAAATTTTTTATTAGAAGCTGATTTTTAGCCTTTCCCTTTATATTTCATACCACCATTTAGATATGATAAGTAAATTGGTAAGACAATACCATTGGAAAGGTTATCGAATATTTATGAACGAAGTAACTTAGAAAAGATATAATTCAATCTAGTATGTCACATCATGGGAGTTTGTGGTATCAGCATTGCTTATTAGGATTTCATATACAATAAGTATATTGTTAAATAGTTCCATTTCCTTCTTGAACCTATACTTAGTTGGTATATAATAATTACTCATTAAGGTTGTTTCTCGAACCCTCTACTCGTCTAGCCAGAAACCTAGCAATGCCTGGTTTAGTGTTGTCCAAAATAGGTCTTGGTCTTGCACTTTGCAATACCAAGACCAAGGCTACCTAACTGTTGCAAGACCAAGACCAGGACTGGTAAAAAAAAATCGACTTTTTAAATAAAAATTAAGGCAAAATAGGTACTAATACATGCCAATCTTAGTTACTGTATGTTAATAATTGGTATAACCAATATACTTTTGCGTTTAACTCCTCTAATTTTTCATTCGAGCTTAGTTAGGTTTCTCCTATCTAAAAATTACAGTGATATCTCTATAGTAATAAGTTAATAAGTAACTGCAAGACGCTTGCGAGACTTTTGCGCAAGACCAAGACTGAGTTTGCAAGACCAAGTCTCGGCTTCGCATTTGGGCAACACGAGCCTGGTTATAATTACATGTAATTAGAATTTTGTTTATTCATTATGCGGATAGTCGGGGCTGCCAAATACCAAGAGTAGAAGAGGCACGGAAGATTCCAACGCAAATGAAGCTCAGTGATGATCCCGCTGATGAAAGATAAATCATGCCTAGAATGGGAAAATATTTGGAAAAGAGCCAGTCGTTCTCGCTATGCTCAATCCGTGGAAGCACAATACTCTACTGGGCAGAACAGATCTATCGAACGCCCGAGGGTTTGGTATTATCTCGGATAATACATGAGTAACATTTGGGCAAAGATCCATAGTAACAAAATTTATTTAATATTATTTTATTTGTTTGTGAAAATCTGGGCTCGCCCACAAACATTTACTAATATGATCTTAAAACAAGTTATTTTTGACCACGAAATAAAGATGGCGATAAGAAAATTAAACTTTATTATTATGTAACTATCCTCATGGTATATATACATTAAGGTATATGTATAGGTACTTTAGGTAATAGGTTTAATATCAATTAAATGTTAATATATATTGCTGGATATCGTTTCGAAAGAGTACCACAATTTAGGTATCTAGGCACTGTTATCACTTAGAGTAGTGTTAGTAGATAATAAGTGTTATTGGTCCCTAAGAAAAATCTTTTATACCAATCGTTAAATCGTTATATACCAAGAGCTCTCAAAATAAGAGTATATAAGACGGTACTGCAACCAGTTGTTTTATATATATATTATATCCCAGACATTATATCCATCATAAAGAGGGGAATGATAAGATGGTTGGGTCCTGTGCAAATAATGGAGCATGGTTGGCTCCTTAAACTGATGATGGAGGGACATCCGGGTAGAAGAAAGAAAAGAGGCAGGCCTAGACTTCATTGGCTGGAAGACGTTGAAAATAAAAAAGGAGCCTTGGTGTAGTCAGATGGAGAGAGGCGGCCGAAGACAGGTCGATTTGGAGGAAGATAGTAGAGGAGCTCCTAGGTTCTGCAAGGACCATAGCGCCATCGGATGATAATGATGTTTGCTTATAACAAAAATAAAATCAATTTATTAATATTTGTCTAGAGAAAAAAAAAAAAACAACTTGAAACTAGAGAAAAATGATGGCACATTTTGACGGGGTTTTGAATTTTTGAGGGGGCACATTTCAATGGGGTTATGAATTTTCGAAATGAAAAAAATTTTGGAGGTGTGGGGGAAGATTCATGTGGTATTGGCTTTGGGGAGAGGAATGGGCAACTCTGCTCGTTTTATACATTTCCCAGCATAAGTACAGTGTAAAGTATACTTTACATTTAAAGAACACTTTTTATTCTGTTCGTCATACTTAAGTTTGGTGTCTTGAACTTTCCATTGTTATAAATTAAGGCCGTTATTCCACCAACATTTTATTTTATATTGACAATCGGTCAACACTAGGGCTATTTTCATGTCTTAATTGAGTCCTCCACTAAATCTCCATATTCAACGTAATTTTCATTTTTCTGAAAACAATTATAAATGTATTTAAGCGGTTACCTTTTAACTCAATCTGGGGTGACTCCAGAAGAGAAATATAACAGGAAAAATGGAATATAACAATAAAAGAGTTAAATTTTATTTTTGTATACAATAAAATGGAATCCCTTATTGTCGAATGACAAAGAAGGAAGAGGGCAATAAATATCTTTAAACTCTCATGATGTTTCAACTTTTAGCTTCTGTTTTAAACCTAAACCTTCTGTTCCAGGAGGAGCTTCCAGAGAACCGGGGGCTCCGCCTGAAGGGGCTGCTGGAGGCGGCAGAGACAGAGGCTGCTGCCGTACCCTCGCTGGACGAGCGGACCTACGTGGCCGGGGGTGGGCTACGACCCGGAGAAGACCCCTACCTCAGGAACAGGTTCAACCAGGAAGCATCCGACAAGCTGCCCAGCAACAGGCCGGTACCTGACACCAGGGCTCAACAGTGAGTACATTACGTTAATTGTGGATTGGTTATTATTATTCGAAAATTATATTAAAAGACATTCAGTATAGCAAAAACAGTTTAATAATAGTTCTTTTTTAATAAAAGACTACATTTGGCCAAAATGAAACAATAATAAAAAAAGAGAAAATATTAGTTAAACAAGCTATAAAAAAAAAATCTATATACAAAACACTTAAAACTATGTACAGTAGGAAAAATTATAATTATACACTTTTGAAAAAAAAAAAAATACATTGACTTCTTTAAAATGAGGTGTGTTTCTGCTAATAAAGGAAAGACAAAGCTGACAATATAAAATGTCAGAGTATTTAAATAATGAATAATATGTAGGCTCATCATTGTCTAATTCTAGCTATAGGTACAGATTTAATTATTTAAGAATTTTTTTTATTTATTTTTTAAAATTTCTTTATTGAGTATTACAACAATCTGTCTGTTGGACATTGGTTATAGTGAGGTAGGATGACATTCACACTATATGTACGAACAAAAAAATAAATAGAAACAAAATAATAATCAAAAGTATATACAATAGACAATCAAATAAAATAATCTAAAAAATAAGAAAATTAAAACTAAACAAAAAAAAAAAAAACACATGCATACCTACATACAATCAGGCGAGACAACTCCAGGAGAACCTGCGCTACTCTCTCAACCGCGTCACTGGTACTAAAGCCAGCGGAGATTGAACGAGAGCACTATTATATAAGAATAAAAAACAAACAAACAACAGATGCATTCAGTGGCATTAAGAGCAGGAAGATATTGTAATATCCCTAGTGAAGTTTACAGCATAGAATAGTTCAATCGTTTGATGATGAATGATATAATAGCAATGTATAATATCAAAAGTTTAGCAAGCATCTGGACTGTTTTTGGGATAGGAATTGGAATAGGAGGGTTTTGAATGTGAATATGGAGGGTAGAGAATTCCAGAAATTGACAGCGCGAGCTATAAAGGAGTTTTGAAATGAGGCAGATCTGTGAGAAGGGATGTAGAGGTCAGAAGGTCGAGATCTTGTTGAAAGGGAACGGACTGAGGACTTGAATTGGAGAAGGTTGTAAGAAGGACGATGGTTGTTGATGATTTGATAAAGGAACGTACCTAGGAATGTCTTCGAAAGGAGGGGAAGAGGAAACCTTAACGCAGTGTAGTGGTGAGAGACATTCAAGACGTTTACTAACTATTCAATGTTAATATAAAGTCGTGAATTAATTTTGAGGTTGTCAGTCCTTCTATGGACGCACCCAACCGCCGTAAAGTTATTACCTTTACATAGGATGAGGAATAAACTTTTTAGTTATGTTTGGATGTTGACCGCATCGTCTTGTGTTACCTGAGACATCATATATTTTCTGGACCTTTCATTGATTTTAGTGATACAGGTTTTTTTTATTTCTGTTTGGGTATAAAAATATAAATAATCTCAAACAAACATTTCAGAATATTTTCTGTAAAAAGTTTGCTTTACCAACACCGTTGAAAAGAATTCAATTCCATTAAGCTCCATATTGGACTGACATAAAGGAAGGACCCCTCACTCAGAGTATGAGATAACCCCCCTCCTCCAAGCGTGTATTGTGCATTCAATCCCGTCTACCTTTAACTGCGGCTTTAATTATACTCTCAAAGGGTTCCTCTTTTCCTTTGTTCGCCGAGTTGAGAAGCTCCTCCTGAGTAAATAACGGTGGTATCCTCGGCTATTTACCTCGCCTCTTTGTCGAGTATCTGACCAGGAAAGTGATTTAGATTAAACGGGATAGGTTGAGGTATCTGATAACAAATTTCAGAGAAGCCATATTTTACTTTGCTCTCTATCGCTACTAGGTAAGGGAAGAACAGGACTCTCTCGATGCAAAACCCTTTGTAATCCGAACAAGAAATAAAAAAAAGATAAAGTTGACTGACGAGAGACGGAGTGGAAATGGCTCTGTTTCTCAGTACATTTTATTGGAATTGCTTCGTGTAAATCGTACTCTAAACGGAAAACATTAAAATTGAGCTGTCTTTCAGAAGTTTAGGAAATTCTTTATATTTTTGCAGCAGAGATTGTGAGGATGTCCTATTTCCAGGAATATATTTGCTAAAAGGTCTGTGTTTTCTTTAATAATTTAGTTTAGAAGGATGTCAAAAAAGGTTTTACTGGTATTGAGGTTGACTTGATAATTTCAAAAACAGATATGGAATACGTTTTTATTCCACTGGAAAATTTCTTCATACCCATTTTATTACTTTCTTACCTATACTAGGTAAGGAAAGTATTGCAATCAGGTCAAATTTCCGATATGCGGTTTTCGACGGATCTATACGTTTCAGAGTCCCCTGAGTCCGAAAAAATGCCGTTTAGCATGTTTTTTGAAAGGTAATGAAATTCCCAAAAAACTATATAAAAATCGTTCATTTTGGACTACTAATAACGAAGTTACAGCTATTCAATTTCCAATGTAAGATTACGGGTTCATATCCTGGTGTCAGAAAGGGGCGAATGACAGAAAAAAGATGACTAAGTGAAAGTAACGAAATCTGTTGCCCGCATCACACAAACTTCGCTATTTCCTCTACTTTTAACAGAAATTATTGTTTGACAATACTATGGCAAAAAGTTTTTGATTAGCAATATTGGAGAGTATTGACATTTTTACAGTGATCTACCTTAAGCCGGTTTACATTGCTTTAATTTATCAACTAAATCGTACTCAAATCTTTTCTTTGATCAATTTTCAGGAAAATAAATCTAGCTCTATTTTTTTTTTTTGTTTCTTCCTGAACTTATCTAAAAATATAAAAACTTTTCTGAAATAGGTAGGAAAGTCGTGTGAATGGACGCACCAGATGTTTTTTCATTGTAGACAAGTCATAAGAAGGCATTTAATACTCGCTACTTGTGAAAGTGTGAATGTGATCTTTGAACACTTTTATGAATGTTCTTTGAGACAGATTATAATATTTTTCAATAAACTAGTTAATCTCTGAATAAAAATAATAAAACACTTAAGTCATCTTTTTGTTCATTATAAAATTTTCTGAGGGGACTAAATGTCCCGCAATAAAATTTACTTTTCTTTCTTAAAAAAAAAAAAAAGTACTCCTTGGAGTTACTGAGTGGATAAAACGTCGACTTCCGAAAACTGGTATTATTTCGGATTATCAATACATATATTGGATCTGGTCAAATTTCCGATGTGCGCTTTTAAACGATTATTTACGTTTCAGACTCTCTTGACTCCGAAAAACAAATTTTTATTTTTATTTTCTTTGAACCTTACTTGAACTTTTCATTAGAAGATCCCGTGTTTTAAAATAAGTTTGACGTCAGAACATGGAAAGGTAGGTTTGACTCCATCGCACAATAGGTATTTACTGTTGGAGCTACACTCATCCTTGTTAGCCTAAGGATATCGAAACTGTTGGATTTGTATCCGATAAAGAAAATTTATGTTAATATGTTGATCGTTCATATTCTTCAAGAGCTCTGACATGTTATTGAACATAGATTATCTACGACGTAGATGCCAATAGCATCAATAGCTAGATGGTTTGACCCTCTCCTTCCACCTACAACCTTTAACCTAACCCACCAATAAAAGCTAATAGCTATGGTGGCCTAGTGGTCTATAGGGACACTATTTATTATTCATTGTCGGATATTGGTCAGATAATGGTGTTGGTGGGAGGGGGTGTTCTCCATGAATATGCGATATTACAACGAATTTCGGTAAAAGGGTCAATCCTTGTTACTATTGATTACTATTATCAAGCTTTTTAGAAAAATCACCTGTATTTAACATTAAACATACTATCACAGGTTGATGTTTCCCCGTATTCCCCTCCAAATTTCTTGTATATAAGTAAATAACTAAGATAAAGAAAATTAAAGTCAAGTTAAATAATATGATTCATCTTCAATATATATTAAAATTTACCAAAGGTATGGTAAAGCAGGACTTCAAGAAATATTTCTTTCTCAGCTTTATCATCTGAGTTGGAGAATTGAAGAGGGTAATAAAACCACAGATGCTCTAAAATTTTTGAAGAGAAGAATAGTTGGGGTGGTCAGTCAAAAAAGAAGGCAAAAATAAATGATAATATTTATTTTTACATATGCCGACGTTTCGACCTGAAGTTCAGGCCTTCACCTGGGCTAAGAAAATAACCAGATATTTATTATAACCAGATTTATATTTATTTATTTTATTTTTTTTTTATTTTTTATTATTTTTTTTTTTACCATCACTACTTATGTTTCTCATACCTTGTTATCTGGTTATTTTCTTAGCCCTGGTGAAGGCCTGAACTTCAGGTCGAAACGTCGGCATATGTAAAAATAAATATTATCATTTATTTTTGCCTTCCTTTTTGACTGACTAACCCAACTATTCTTCTCTTCATTATCCACGACAGTCAACCAATTACCAATTATGACTCTAAACTTTTTGTATAGCATTATTTAATACTGGTCCCATTGCCATTCCCATTTGAAACAGATACAACCCACTTTAAAATTACTATATTATATAATATCACTGATATTAAAATATAACAAATGGCAGCTAACTTACATTAATGCGTAAATGTATTTTTTTTTTCAATTATGAACCATAAGTTCACAACTCGTCTGTATTTAATACATTTAAATGCTAATTTTCGAAAACTATAATGTTGTTAAAAGAGATGTACGATAAGAAAACATTAGATTAAACATTAGGTATGTGTTAGTATACACGTATAAAATAGTTTAATGAGCAATGACCCTTGTGGTACTCCTGTAATTCGTTTTACAAAAAAATTTCTAAGCCTTGATGGATAGAGAGAATACTTTCACAGTGAAGGAAAAGGGCTAGAAGATAGTATCTCTAAAGTGGAAGTTATTTTAATAAAGAAATAACTCAGTCGTGACATCGTGTAGTTTATATGCCGTTAGGCCAAGTGACTCCACACAAAATACATGCTCAGAATGTTGTTTCTCTGAACTGATGTTCTTTATTAAAGAAATTTTGCTAATAATTTCTGAACAGATATAAAATATATTATTTAGTCTTCTTATAAAAACAATGAATAAATGTTTTTTTTTTAGTTTTTGAATTAAGATAATTTGTAATAGAGTGTTTTTTTCATTGGCCTCCTATATAGCCTGTATATTGAAAAATCGGAGCACACATGCAAATAAAATTTGTTTCTTAGTGACTAAATCTATACTCAGGAAGTAAAAGACACCATATTACTTTTTTTCATTTGTTCAGCGAGGCGATCCAACCCATTGAGCTATTAAACTTTGTTTTTTAGATACTAAACTATATGTATATACACACACACACACACACACACACATATATATATTCCTTTATCAAATCATTACCGATCATCGTCCTTCTTATGCCTACAACCTTCTCCAATTTAAGTCCTCAATCCATTCCCTCACTACAAGATCTCGACCCTCTGACCTATTCATCCCTTCTCATAGATCTGCCTCATTCCAAAACTCCTTTATAGCCCGCTCTGTCAACTTCTGGAATTCTCTCCAGATCAAAATTCGGCATGCCCCCTCCCTATACATATTCAAAAACCTCCTATTCCAATTCCTGTTCCAAAAACAGTCAGATACCAGCTAACTATTAATACTATATATGTATTGTGTAGCATCATATAATCATATGATAATACTTGGTAAGAGATAGTACATGAATTTCCTACTATCTACGTAGGAATTTCAATGCATGCATTTTTTTTTTTTTTATTCAATTATAATTAACTATTTTTTTATAAATATATACAAGTAAAGTTTTTTTATGAAATGAACTTATTCTATCTCTTTTTCGTTCTTCATTTCTCAAAGTGTATGTTTATGTTGTTCAACCCTTATATATAGTTTTGTTCACAGTTTCAAGTGATTCGTTCAAAGTTTTAAGTGATTTGTTCATAGTTTTAAATACTCTGTATATAGTTTTATCTGTATTGTATATAGCTTATTCACCTAAGGTTTTCTTTACTTTTTAGTTTATTTTATCAATTTTATTTATTGTTTCAAACTTTTAGGCCAGTAATATTCTATTCTTTTGTACGGTTTTGTTATTCTGAAGGGACTTAGTCCCAGAATAAAGTTTTTTTTTCTATCTATCTATCTATATACATTTTTTGGGAGTTGAGGGAGAGATTGGCTCTATAGACCGTGTAGATCTTTGGCCGTGGGATGTGGTCTTCTTACAGAATCAGCTTTGCTTTTCAGCCAATCTCAGGTCGCTATGGACTATGGTCCCTATGTGCAGCAGCAGAACACCTATAGCTCCATAGTCAATCTCTTAGGAGCCAATCTGGTAGTGTCCTCAACCAATTCACTTATGTTTAAGGACAATGACCAATTGATCTAGATCCATGGATTATGGCTGCTCAGAGTCAGAGCTATGTGTATTTACATTCATACACATATAGCAGGATTAAAAAAAAACTAGCTGACTCAGAATCAGTTACAACTTGAGAAGACATCCGACATTGCAAGATGGAGGGCACCGCTAGGCCGATCTGAAGAGTCATCCGAACCTGTTCCGTGTCGCAACGGAGCTTGTTGCAATGTGTGCTTTTCCACCGTGACGTCAGCTGTACCGTCACATAACATTGTCCCCTTTCCGCTCCAATCACCTTGCGGTCGTCTCATGACTTACCAAATCGGCAATTACTGCTTTATGGTGATGAGGTTCGATTCTTACCAACGTTAATTTAAACTTTCTAGACCTGTAATTGGTTTATTACGTTGATGACTGTCCATATTTGTATGTCTCGTGTCATTTATTTGATTAAAGTAAATTTGGTGCATTAGAAGAAAATTTTGTCTACGCTACGATTGATTACGAATAACCTAAAAAATAGGTGGAGCAGCAGGGTATCTCAGTGGCTAAGGCACTGACTTCCTATGCTCAAGGTGCTGGGTTCTAATCCGATTGATGGCGGGTAAGATTAAAATAGAGTTTGATCATCAATTGGATGCTTTATACATTATTTGTAGTTTATATATTTTATATTTCACCATTTATTCTATTATCTATAGCTTCTTTATTAGATAATTATAGATAAAGTCTTCACGAATTTAATATTTTATTCATTTTATTAATGGAGTATTCACCATAAAACAGTTACTATATCGCTGCCCCATCGAAATTAATAATCATAATAAAATCTTAAATAGTGAATTCTGTAATTTCATTACCTAAGAATTGAAATCCATCTTCTTGGTCGGTATACCTATTTAATATTGTTTTATTATTAACTTATAAATCCTCGCGTTTGCCTTAATTTTTATGTATATATTGCATTTAGGTAGATAATGAAATAGTAAATACAAAGATGTAATTCTTATAATAAATAATAGATGTCATGTGAACATAAATAAGTATAATAATATTGGATAAATAATTTGTTAGCATTTTTCAACTCCAGATATCTATCTACGTTTATCTAACTTATTATAAATTAATATGTCATATATATCATATAATCTTATTATAAAAACGTTACGGTCTTTTGCAAATTTGAGTAAATATTTAAATTTATCTTCTCTGACTGTGTAGTCGTCCTCGTGACCACACGCTCTGCTTATCGTAATAATTTTCTCCGTGACTGTATCCCTAGTGACTGGATCTATTGCAAACGTTATTGTCCTCCGCATAGATACTTTCATATTCCCATCGCGTTTGTACTTCATTTGTTGAGGAGCTTTCTCTTCGTAAGTGTAGCGGGGAATACGTAATATATAAGAAAAGCATTCAGTAGTGCTTGGAGAATTTGCTTCCAGATTTTAGATTGTAAAACTCTTCATTTCAGTTAGCCAAAAATTCTGTAAGAGTTGATATGTTTTCTTAATGCCGTAAAAATATTTAATTTTAAACGGTTTGGGATGACTTGTTTTGGGTCCATTTTTTTATTCATCTATTAATGCAAATTTTGATTATTATTTCATGTTGCTTTGCTTCTATTTATTTTATATCTTTTGTACATGTAGCGTAAATGTTATCCTACCTCACTATAACTAGTGTCCATTTGACAGATTGTTGTAATACTCAATAAATAAATAAAAATTATTGCAAGAAAACATTACATAGATAGTATAAATATTTTGTAGGCTGCCTATTTTTTGTAGACTTATATTTATTAAAATTTTAGTGTAAGATAGTTGTTTGTAGTAAAACATCCATTACTACTATGTTTTTCTCTATATTACGAACATGATGGTCTGAAAATCAAAATCTACAACTTTATTATGTTTTAGGTATAAATAATTTTTTTTGTCTGTAACGTTTTTGGTTTAAACGTATTTCCTGAAATCAACATAATTTTTACAGTTTATTTAACCGTGATATTGAAACACATATTTCCATAATAAATTACAAGCTCATTCGAACATTAGTAGTTTCTAACCTTCCTTCTTGTATAATTCTTGACAATCTTTCTTTAAATTATAAAATAAGATGGCATTGGGGCCTTTTAAATTGTTATTCTTATTGGAGCGTTAAAAATGTTTCTCTATATGTGTTATAGTATTATATCGTAGATCACATGCACTTAATTTATTTATTTGTGTTTTAGTGTAGTGGTGCATTTTAATAAGTTAAAAAAAAATTGAAAACCACGATATACCAACCTATATTTATTTTAAGATCATCATATTCCTATTCAAAAATAAAATTGTAACTACCTCGGTTTGAGTCATAGTTTTTAGTCTGCAAATGGCTTCACCATTTTAGGTGGAATCTAAATAGTTTTCCCTATCTTACCAAAAATTAGTTCCAATAACACGTTGTTTTTTGTCCAACTTTAGCATCCAAAATACGAAAACTATTTTCCAAAAAAACTTCTGAAATGTTAAGAGAGATTGAAAAGCATGATATAGCAACCGATTTATAGTTTTCGAATCATTCGGTAAATGAAAAAAAAAACAGACAAATCCATTGTTTTGCCTTTCAAATTTAAATTTCATCTAATCATACTTTCGACATTAAATTATTTTTTTTTTCATTTTATTTTAAATTGAGCTATTAAATATATAATATTTAAAAAAAAAAATCCTTTCGTTCTCTGTACTCAAATTCTTTTTTCTTTTATGTTTTTCTCTCCATCTCACTTTCTTCATCCGTTCTCGACAAATGTTTTTGAATTTTCATTTCTATTTATATAATTTTGTTATTAATGTTTTCACTGAATATAAAATAAATAAAAAAAAAGTATGCATTGAGACTTTTGGCACGAAATATGTAAAATAATAAATAGATATGTTATCGAAGGATAAAATTTTGTTTTTATAAAATGAAACTATGAACTAATTATAATATTGTGCAGTATTTCATTTCAAAGTTTTAGGAAACCTTTGATTTAATTTAAATTAGGAATGTTGAATTTGATTTTTTTAGTTTTAATTTTCTTATTTTTTAGGTTATTTTATTTTATTATCTATCGTATATACTTTTGATTATTATTTTGTTCTATTTATTTTAGTTTTTTTTACAAATAGTGTGAATGTCATCCTATCTCTTATAACCTATGTCCAAGAGACAGATTGTTATAAATTAAAAAAAAAAGTTGGATTCTAAATAATTAAGTTAAAACTACAAACTTTTCAATCAAAAACTTTCAGGGCCATAACTAAAGCTCCATGGTACGTCACAAACAGACCTTCAAATGCCAACAGTTAACGACCACATACGGACATACTAAACCACTTATACAAAGTATGGATACATTTAACATGCCCGAAAATACACTTAGGAGTCTCCAAAGGAGCTGGATGGGGGATTTTCTCGCCTAAAAGATGCTAAATTCAAGACAGGAAGGGATGCCGCTGGGCACTCCTCTCCATCACTACCTATTTTCTTACCGACAGCAGACCCGCTTATTGTCATTGCTTATGACATTTGTGGGTGTAGAAATGAATTAAAAAAAAAAAAAAGTTGAAATTAAAAGAAGTCATTTTATTTATTTTTTAATTATTGAGTAGCGTTAAGCTTTTTTTTTTGCACACCGCCTATCGGACTATTTTCTTCGTCTACAATAAGCCATATACAATATTTAAATTTCTATATATTAAAAAAAATATATAATGTCATTGCGACATATTACCGTCGATTAGTCTAAAGGGAAGACACTACTTGAAGCCGTCAGACTTTCACTACGAAAGGTCGAGGCTAGAATGACTTAAGAGTAAGTTAGCATGTCAAGGACGAGGTCGTTCTCTCATCCTTTATCTCCGATCTCCCTCCCATTTTCTTATCTCTTCTGCAATATATTATGTCATACATTTCTATATTACATAATATAGATACAAATATTTTATTTGTATCACATTAAACCTGAAATATTTCATTTTTTTTGTTTCTTGTTTTTTATTGAACAATACTAGATACCGTCTTAAACCAAGACAATTAGTAAGAAAAAATATATTTTCAAAACATAAATCAATACAATAATAGAAAAATAAAAATAAATTATGGAAAAAAAGTTTAATAAAGTGAAATAGAAATTTTTAACGCTAACATACTTATGTATACTGTTTACAATCATCCAAGAGTACTCAAAACTAGCGTTGTCCCTCGCCCATATGGAGGAAAAACCAGGATTCAAAGAGATCCCAGCGCTTCTCTCTCAACTGCACCACTGGTATCAAAAGCCATTGGAGGCGATTCAAATGTCAGTTTGAGAATATTCATTTATCACATTAAAGTCCGTGATACAGACCCCTTTTTATCAAAATTTAACATCCGTCTAAAACTTTGTAACTAGGTTCACCTCATAGTAACATACAAATATTTTATTTCTCTGAAATGGGTTATTCTTTAATCTGGAGATCGGCGAACATTGTCTATTTAATTAGCTACAGAAACTCATAAATATCCAGTTGCTTTCCACTTGAATCGTAGGATAATATTATCACAAAATCGAAAAAAAAGAAAGATGGCCTACAAAAGTATTGGGCCATTTGGCCTACGTAACCTCGTTATTTTGACATTTTGGGAGTGGAGGTCACGCCAAACGGACCAATATTTTTGTAGGACACCTTTTTTTCGACTTTGTGATCATATTATCCTACGAATCAACCGGAAAGGAAATGGGTTTTCATGAGTTTTTAGTACCTAATAAAATATTTATAGGTTACGATGAGATGAAGCTATTTACGAAGTTTAAGGTGGATGTTAATAAATTGATTATTAGGGATCTGTTCGATGGACTATTAGTTTTAATTTATTGAAATTCTATAAAAAAAAAAAGATTTGTCTAATATTTTTTCTAAATGAGACTCTCACATAAGGAAAATCCTATTATTTAATTATTTAACAGAAACAAACATCCTTCTGTCGCGATACATTATTATTTTTAATATTTCAACTTTACAATTGTCCCTATTCAAACTACTGTTTCGAGGAACTATTAAAATATTACAACTTTAAAATTTTCTTATTAAATATGAATATTCATTAATAAAATATATTCACTCGTTTCATTTATTTTTTTTTTTGGCAATTAAAAACACTTTATTCAGAAATATTACAATTTGTCACAGTTAAGGACACTTATAATAGAGTTCAGAGATTGCATTCATACCGTATATACAAAAATATAAATAAATAAAGTAATAACAAAAGAATAAGAAGAAAGAACAAAAGAGTAAAGAAAAAAAAAATAATATATATACACATAAGTAAATAAAAATAGAAATAAAAGTAAAACAAACACCTTATATAAAACATACATTATTTACAATTTGCCAGGTGATCTCCGAACCAATCCTGTCCCCTCCACATGTGGAGGGAAAAGGGAGGCCTAGGAGATCCCTACGCTTCTCCCTCAGCCACTTCACTGGTATTTTAAACCAGCGGAGGATGAGTAAGAGCGCTACAGCCACAGACACTCATGACTTGAGTGGAGAATCTGGCCATTGCTAGAACTCCAAAATATCCATATTTACAAAAGGTCTCGTGGCCACTGCCGCTTTAACCTACGAAGGGGATTGTAGGGATGGGTGGTGCTTGATAGGGATTGTACAACGGGATTTGGGTGATGAGAAAGGTTCTGGTGAAATTTGGAAAATTTGGCTGGGATAAGATCAAGAATAAATGGGATATTAAGGTCATGATGTAGGGTTTTATTGGTTACATAGAAGGGAGCATTGACTATTGTACGGAGGACTTTAGACTGAAAGGATTGAATGCGTTTGATGTTAGAAAATTTGGCTGTTCCCCATAGTTCTAGTCCGTAAGTCCAGATGGGTTTCAGTATTGTCTTGTAGATCAGTAATTTGTTTTCACCAGAAAGTTTAGATTTTCTATTCAGTAGTCTATATAGCTGGCCATATCGTCTGTTAAGTTCCTGTCTTTTAAGTCGAGTATGTGGATTCCATGTTAGTCGTCTGTCTAAGAGAAAGCCAAGATACCGGACTGTATCTGAGAAAGGAAGCTGGATGGAGTTAAAATAAACTGGTGGGCAGGTATTACGCCGAAGGGTGAAGGTAATGTGTTTACATTTAGATTCGTTTACCTTAATGCGCCATTTCTTACACCAGTGTTCAATCAGGAAGAGGTGCCTTTGTAAGTTTGCGGACGCTGTTTCAGGATCTGAGTTGGAAGAAAGGATAGCAGTGTCATCAGCGAAAGTTGCCAGGAGGGTATCGGGATGGACAGGAATATCAGCGGT